TCTCCACCCATTTGGACAGTGGTGAGATTGAAATTATATCTTTTCAGGATCCTCTTTACAATTTTCCTGTTACTTGGTTTTGGTTTACCTGACCACTTTTTCTGGCTGAGTGAAAAGACACTCTGATGTCAGTTATCCATCACTGAAAAAAACTATGGTTTGCTATTGGGTCAGCTCAAAGTACTTTTCTCCATTGCACCCTCCCCTTCTCCCCTCTCTCTTCCCAAGGAGGTTTTAAATTGCTACTACAAATGGATTTTTTACTTCTCTCTTTTAAGCTGGGATTTTTGTTTTGTTTATTCTTGTTGTTATTATTGCCTATTGTTTTGATTCATAACTCCATTCTCATTTAGAATGATTCCTTTAGTACCATCTTGTCAGTGATTACATGAGGCTTGCTTGCTCAGCTGACATGTTGTGCATGTTTAAACCCAGAGACAATTGGACATAGGTTTCTCTGTAGGCAACAGAGAGGTTCTGCTCAGTATCTCCTCATCTATTATCTCAGTCCCTAAGCATCCAGGAAGGGCTGTTTAAGGCCATCACTGGTTCTGTGTAATCCCGACAGATTCTAGACAGACACTTCCTCTTCTTCGGCTTGGTTATAAGTGAGTTTTTATTTTGTTTTGTCTTGCCTAACTTGTGCATTTGAGTGATCTTATCCTTAAAGACTCTGAGCATTTTGCTCAGGACCTCACTCCCTATGAGAGAAAAACGGAATTCAGAGCAGGCCTTATGTATTACATCATGCTAGTCCTCTGAAACTTGTATGGCTTAAAAAATAAGGCATTTTTCTAGGGAAAACCTCTAGAAGGCAGGAGAAATTATGTCTATTCCCTTGATTTACTCTCTCATTTGTCAGGAAGTTAGTCACATCTGACATCTTCAAACTGAAAAATCACTAGATTTTACCTCTTCCCTCTTTTTTTATTTATTCATTTATTTTAAAAATTTATTCATTGATTTTACATCCTGAGTGTAGTTTCCTCTTCCTCCTCTCCTCCCATTCCCTCCCCACTGCCTCTCCTCTGCACACCTTCCCTGCCCCAAACTATTCCTCCTCTGTTTCTGTTCAGAGAGGGGCAGGCCTCTGTTAGGAATCAGCAAAGCATGCCATTTCAAGTTGAGGTAGGACTAAGCTCCTCCCCTTGTATTAATCCTGGGCAAGGCAACCTAGTATGAAGAATAGGTTCCCAAAAGCCAGACATTGCATTAAGGACACCTGCTCCCACAAGTAGACCAAGCTACACAACTTATTTAGAGAACCTAGGCTGGTCCCATGCAAGCCCCATAGTTGTTGGTTCTGTCTCTGTGAGTTCCTATGAAACCATGTTAGTTGTTTCTGTGGGTTCCCTTGTGGTGTACTTGACTCGCCTGGCTTGTACAGTCCTTTCTCCTTCTCTTCAGCAGGATTCCCCAAGCTTAGCCCAATGCTTGGCTGTGGGTCCTGCATCTGTTTCTATCAGTTACTGGATGAAGGCTCTCTGATGACAGGTGGGACAGTCACCAATCTAGAGTATAGCAGAATATCATTAGACGTCATTACATTGAGATTTTTTCTTCCAATCATGTTTGATTCCATCCCAGGTCTTTGGGCCATCCATCCTCTGGGTCCTGGCACTCCAGTCAGTGTCAGGGGCAGGCTCACTCTTGTGGAGGAAACAACTTCCTGAATAAAACACCAGTATCACAGACACTAAGATCAACAATTAATAAATAGGACCTCATGAAACTGAGAAGTTTCTGTAATGCAAAGGACACTGTCAATAGGACAAAATGGCCCACATCTGATAGAGGGCTGATCTCCAAAATATTTAAAGAACTCCAGAAACTAGATATCAAAAGATCAAATAATCCAATTAAAAATGGGCTGTAGTTCTAAACAGAGACTTCTCAACAGAATAATCTTAAATGGCTGAGAACACACTTAAAGAAACATTCAACATAGCCATCAGGGAAATGCAAATCAAAATGACTCTGAGATTCTATCTTACACCTGTCAGAATAGCTAAAATCACAAATGACAGGAGAGGATGTGGAGCAAGGGGAACACTCCTCCACTGATGGCAGAAGTACATACTTGTACAGCACCTTTGGAAATCAGTATGGCAGTTTCTTAGAAAATTGGGAATCAATCTATCCCCAAACCCAGCTATACTGCTCAAAAGATGCTCAATCATATCACAAACACACTTGCTCAACTATGTTCACAGCAGCTTTATTTGTAATAGCTTGAACCTGGAAACAACCTAGATGCCCCTTAACTGAAGAATAGATTTAAAAAAATGTGGTACATTTACACAATGGAGTATTACTCAGCTATCAAAAACAATGACTTCAGGAAATTTGCAGGTAAGTGGATGGAACTAGAAAAAAAATCATCCCGAATGAGGTAACCCAGACCCAAAAAGACAGATATGGTATGTATTCACTTACAACCAGATATTAGCTGTAAAGAATAACCATGCTACAATCCACAGATCCAGAGAGGCTAGGTAACAAGGAGAGCCCATGGGGAAATGCATGGATTTCATTCGGAAATAGAAGAGATCTTTTTGGTGGATGAGAGTTGGGGTGGGGCTGGAGGTAGGGGAGTGGGAATGGAAACATGAGGGATAGGGTTATGGGGTGGATGAATGGATGGGGAGAGTACTTATTGCTGCCATGAGGACCAGACTTCAGCAGTTCAGGTATTGAGAAGGACCCATGGAGTTGGCAAACTGATCACTCAACTTGATTTTTCTATCTTAATTCTCTGGGCCAGTAGGGAAAGCAAAACTTAACTCTCTGGGGTCAGTGAAAAAGGGGAAAACACACACACACACACACACACACACACACACACACACACACACACACATCTCCAAGATATCAGAATCTCACCCAGGGTGATGATGAATGGCAAGCCTTCAGCGGATCAGAGAACCTTTTCTGATGTTTTCCTTCTCTTATTTTTTCCCTTACAGCTTATCTACCCCAGCAAAATATTTCAAGAAATATAAAATTACAATGTGGTTACATTCTATTTTTAAGTGAATGATTACAATGAATACAAGTAAAAAAGCAGCATGTTTTTCACATCCCTTACATGCTTAAACATTTTACGTATTACAAGTAAAAAATAAGTTGTCCTAAGAACCCACATGCATTCATACCCAAGCAACTTGTTATAGATTAACAATATAAAAGCAAGCAAAGTATTTTCTTAGCCAGTTCTTTTGCTGGCAGGTTGCATTTTGTGGTTTCAAAGAAAGGATCAATCACTTTATTATTTATCTCAAAAGGCAATTTTACCAAAAAAACCTTAAAAGAATCACAAATCTGAACTTTTATATATAAACTTAAATAGTCAGCCAGCTCTACTTTATATTTTTGGTTGTGAGCCTAGCCTTTAATGGCTGAGCCATCTCTCCAGGCCCAGCTCTACTTTAAATTCTCCGGGTGCATACCCACTCATCAACAGTTTTTTTTATTAAATCATAACAGGAAGCAGAAGACAGAAATGGATGCAAGGAATTAATCATCACCCTTGATCACCAACCCATCCTAGCAAGAGAGGTATGTAATACGAATTGCTAAATGATCTTATTAATAAAAAACCCAGAGCCAGATATTGGGGTGAAAGCTGAAAGATCACAGGAATAGAACAAGCCAGTCACAAGTTTTTATTGATAGGAAATCCTCAGCCCAAGAGAGCTACTTCCTGTGTACTCATGCCTTATATACCTTTCTGTGCCCTGCCATCTTACTTCCTCTCTCTGCCCAGCTACATCACTTCCTTTTTCCTCCCAGCTCTATCACTTCCTGTCTGTCTGTACAGACCTCCAGACCTCTATGGTTAACTAGTGCTGGGATTAAAGGTGTGTGCCACCACACCTGGCTCTGTTCCCAGTGTGGCCTTGAACTCACAGAGATCTGGATGAGTCTCTGCCTCCCGAATGCTAGGATTAAAGGCGTGTGCTACCACTGTCTGACCTCTATGTTTAACATAGTGGCTGGCTTTGTCCTCTGATCCCCAGGCAAGCTTTATTTGTTAGAGCACAAATAAAATATCACCATAGAGGTATGCCAGCCAGCAATAGCCAGGCTGTCATTGTTCTTGTTTCTTGACCACAAATAGTTCCTCACTCAACTATGTGCCTTTTTAAACTTTAAATTGTTCCCCAAGATTTTCTACTTCAAAGCCATTAACAAAAACACCTTAACCCAACTTCACTAACAGTTCTACATGTCTAAATTATTTCTAAGGGTAGTGGTTGAATCATTAATCTGCTCTAGCAGCAATGCTTGGAAAAAGTCAATTACTATTCTGTAAGTACCAGTAACACTGCCCACTGAGGGCCTAGAAACCTCCTGAGAGTTTTTATACAACCCATAGATTATAAGGGATGTGGTGACCATGAAGGCAACTATCAGAGCTATGCTCAGTAACACCATGAGGTCCTCAGACAATGTAATCCTTTGGCACTTTGCCTCTTCAAGGCTCACTCAGGCACTCACTTTGTCAAATGCCCAGCCATTTTCCAGGAGCTCCAGTGCTGCCCATTGGCCCCTTTGAATCACCCCCAACACGTACTGAGGCAACTGGAAAGGGGGCATTCTAGGATCAGGTAGGAACCTGGTACAAGGGAAACTCCCATGAATCTATAAGAATGGCCCCAGCTAAGACTGCTAGCAATCAATGGTAGACATGTAACCTGAAATAGTTATCTCCTGTGACCATACAGGACTTCCAGTGGAGGGATTGGGACACCAGCCTAGCCACACAACCTTTGACCTACAAGTCTATCCTGCATATGGGAAGTGTAGGGGGAGTAGGGGGCTTAAGGGTACAGTAGGGATTGTGGGAGTGGTCAACCAATGACTGGTCTAGCTAGCCTCTACCCTTTTTTTAAAGCTTTCTCAGACAATTTTTTGTTGTGTGTTAAGAAAATTGCTTAGACTTTTTTTTATTAAGATTTTTTTTTCATTCATTTTACACACCAATCAAAGATAAAAAAAAAAAACAGTGGTTAGATGCCATAAAGTAGGTGGCAATGCCTTAACCATATATTGTGTTGTTAGGCCCAAGGGCCTTTCCCATCCTTGTCAAGGGGAGTGCTAACCTTCTCTCCTTTCATACAACACTAGACATTTCCTTTTAGTTAATTTGAAATCTGTGTGGCATCCGGTATTGCTCAGAGAAACTTTCTTTCAACTGTGGAAAATGGGATCTAAGACATGCTTAGCTCAGTTCTCCTTAGATGCTTCTATCTAGGATGACAAGAAACTGGCCCGGGCGGTGGTGGCGCACGCCTTTAATCCCAGCACTCGGGAGGCAGAGCCAGGCGGATCTCTGTGAGTTCGAGGCCAGGCTGGGCTACCAAGTGAGCTCCAGGAAAGGCGCAAAGATACATAGAGAAACCCTGTCTCGAAAAACCAAAAAAAAAAAAAAAAAAAGAAAAAAAAAAGAAAAAGAAAAAAAGAAACTGGGTGCTTTTCATGTCCACAATGGACCACTACCCAGAGCCAGAGGAACAGTCTATTTTCTAAGCCTTCCCATAATATTTAAGTTATTTCTATGCTGAATTCAAAGCTTCTCCTCTTCCTTGCCCTCTGAGAAGAAATGAAAACATCTAATGCTTCTTCTGAACAAAGATTTTTAGAAACGTCCCCCATACTCTCATTAACATTAAAAATAGCTTCTTAAATATATGTATGGAACAGCAATTAATGTAAAGAGGCCATGAATTTTCAAGAGAGCAAGGAGGAGTGTAAAGGAGGGCTTGAAGAAAGGGAAGACAAGGGAGAAATGATTAACTATATTTTAATCTAAAAAAGAAATAATTTAAAAATAGCTACTTACAAGTGCATTTTATTTAAAATTTACAGAACACTTAAAAACATCTCGTGCAAATGCATCCTAATACCAAGTATAATGATGTACACCATTAATCCTAGCAGGTGACTCTGTGAGTTTGACGCTAGCCTAGTCTACATAGTGAGTTCCTGGCCAACCAAGGCTCCATTGCAAGACCCCATTTCAAAAAATAAACTAAAATAAACTACTGTTTGAGATAAGAGGCGATCAGAGCTTACAGGCAATGGAAATGAGCTTTAACAAAGATAAGAGTCAAAAGCAGAGTTCTCCAGGCCTCTTTCTTTGTACTCTTCTCCAAGAGTGCATTCTCTTATCATTTCAAGTTAATAGTCTTCCACTTGGCCAGTCATTAGTCTCAGGACCAGTGCCAAAGTCCACTCAGCAACCCACTGTCCTGGTTTTCAATGTTCATGCTGCTCAGGACTGAAACTAGGAACAGCAATAAGCTCTGGTGAATGGACGGATTTTCACCCACAGAGATAGGGCTGCTAACCAGCTGCAGTCAAAGATCTGGGATGGCATGAAGGATTCATGTCCTAGGGATCAGTTGTTGCATAATCAAATTTCCCTCTCGTGTATTTTGTTTACTGTGCCATCTCATTTCTCCAGTTTCCATGTTTTTAAAGCCATTCAGAAGTTAGAATTTTAGGAGTCTCCTATGCATTGCCACTTTTGCTGTTGCTGTCTGAATTGTCTTGCTAGTGTTTGGATGTGGTTTGAGTGTGTGTGTGTGTGTGTGTGTGTGTGTGTGTGTGTGTGTGTGTGCTCTGCAGAGGTCCCTGTGCTAGAAACTTAGTTCTTGGTGTCATGATATTGAGAAGCAATGGAACCTTAAAGAGATGTAGCCTAGGGCAAGGTAATTATGTTACTAGGGATATATATATATATGGTCCTCTGAAGTGATTGACACTAATGTAGTGAATTAGGGGTTCTCACCAGAGGAGACTGTAAAAGTGCAGCTCACCTTTGAATTAGCTAGGGCATCCTTTCTCATTATGTGGTCCCTCTTGCACGTTCTCCCACTAGGTTGCCACCTGGCTTGAAGCCCTTACCAAAAAACAAACATTTGAGGCCAATGGGTCTTGGACTTTGAACCTCCAAATGGTGAACTAATAAACTTTTTTTTTCTTTTATTTTTGGTTGTGAATCTAGACTTTAACAGTCGAGTCATCTCTCCAGCCCAATCATATATATGCAACCTAGGGTGTTTTGTCATAGCAACACTTAATGTACTAAGTAAAAATCTTTGTATTTTCCTGGACATTAGAAATATTGTCCTCTTGTTTCCTACTGTTTTGGTTACTTTTGCTATAAATTTATACTCCACGCTGTTTTCAGGCTTACCCTGAACTAAAAGCTGGCAAAGTCTAATTCCTACTTAGAACTATTCAATAGTGCCCCATTATATAGAGCATAATGGAAAGCCCCATAGGCTTGTAATTTAATTTGGAATTTTCCTCCAATTTCCAAAAGTCCTTTGCTAGGACAGAGTCACATCTATAAGACTAAGAATTATGTTTGCTGTTCTCTATTTACAACAATATTTTCCCCCAATTCCTTGTTTTGTTGCACAATAGATTTCCCCATTTCTGAAAACTTAACACTTGGCTTCTTGGCTTCCTGACAGAATTATCCTCTGCACCAAGGCCCATTAAAGTGTGCTCCCTTCAAAAATCTCCCTCCATTCCTCTTCCTCCTGCTCCTCCTTCCTTACACTTCTTTTCAATTTTCTGTTATATTAATCAGACAGAGTGACAGTTGTTTTAATTCATACGTTCATCCTATTGGTCGGAGCTCTGTAGAGGAACAAAACCAATAGGATGAATGTATGCATTAAAATAATTTATTAAATTAGCTCATACTAAAATAGTAACAATTGTTTCCCATCGAGAGGGAAGGATCTGGAGGTTGCTGATTATTTATGCCTGGGTGCTCCAGCAGTTGCTGGGTGTTTGTGGCTGAGTTCTCCAGCAGTTCCTGGGTGCTTTAGCAGTGTTTGTGGTTGGGTGCTCCAGGAGTTGCTGGGTGCATGTGGCCGGGTGCTTTAGCAGTGTTTGTGGTTGTGTGCTCCAGCAGTGGAAGCAGTCCTACTCTAGCAGTCTCTTACTGAGGCCAACAACCCTGTGGTTGCTCAATCTACAAGGCTTGTAGACTAAGTCGTTCCAGGCTGGTGCTGAAAATCTGGAAGATTCCTGTCGAGCCTCTGGTTCTCAGTCAAGGATGGAAGACTGGAAATGCTGGTTCTGATAGCAGTGAGGGGAATCAGTAGCAGCAGCAACCAGAGAAATTCACTCAGCCAAGAAAGGGAAGACCAAGTGAACAACAGGTGAATAACCTTTCTTCTGCCATGACCCTTTTACCTGCTCCTATACAAAACGGTTCTCCTGTTGGAGAGGGTCTTCTCACGTTAATTAAAGCAATCAGGTTAATCCTTCAGTTGAGGCTCCCTTCTCAGATGATTCTAGTTTGTGGTAAGTTAAGGCCGGTTGCCCTCAGCAGTCTTCACAGGAACTCATGCTTCTCTGTCCACACTGTGTTTTCCCATGGCAGGAATCCGCTTGCTTTCAGTCTATGCGATCATTCAATAGCTTCTTATTTCACTTGTCCGTCAAGGCTTCTAATTGTTCTTATTAAACTCTTTCCTCTTTATGGTAATTAAGGCGATGTTGATAAGCATTTGGACTTCTTGTGATTCAGTTTTTAGGCTGTTTCCCTTGAACAATGTGGGAGAAACAACTGTGGTACCATGGAGTACAATATATTGTCCTCAAGGCTCCCCTCATGTGTGATTCAAGCCAATATTTAAAAGACCTGATGTGGTGATATTTTGTTTGTGCTTTCACAAATAAAGCCTGTCTGGAGATCAGAGTGTGGAGCTAGACACTAAGGTCAGGCAGTGGTGGCACACACCTTTAATCTCACACTTGAGTGGAAGAAACAGGAAGTGATATGACTGGGCGGAAAGAGGAAGTGATAAGGCAGGGTGGAGACAGGAGCTCACCCCCTTTCAGGCTGAAGAGTTGGCAAGGTAAGAGGTGGCTGTGGCTTGCTCCTTTGTTTCTCTAATTTTCAGCATTTACCCTGATATCTGGCTCTGGGTTTTTATAATTAAGACCAATTAGAATGCTACAACCCAACATTTTAGAAAATCCATTCATACAGCAGAAGCCCCACTCTTTTTAGTATTATAAATAGTATAGAGTAAGCCACTAGTACTTAATAAATGCTTAAAAATGTAATCTCTGGGGAAATAAACTGATTAACAAGCCCAGTTCCCCAGATGTTACCTTTTCTTTGATCTTTACATCATTATTAGCCTCATGACTTGTTTATTTCCTTCTTTTTGCTCTTCAAAGTTTTATTTATTTTTACTGTATGTGGAGGGTTGGTTTGCCTGCATATATATCTGTGCATCACAAGTGTATCTGGTGTGGGATGATGTGAGAAAAGGGTGTTGGATCTCCCAGAACTGGAGTTGCAGATGCCATGTGGGCTCAGGAAGAGCAGCCAGTATCCTCAACACCTCAGTGATCTCTCCACCCCCCTCCCCCATTTCTTTCCTTTCTTCTCAAACAAGAGAAAACAAGATTGGCAGTGAGAGTTACAATGTACAAGATTTTGTTGCTATATTTCTGAGTTGTAACTAAATAAAAGGTGGAGTAATTCCACATCAATGTCTCCCCAAATAAATCTGGGGATTTCCTGTGAGCTTTGTTCCCAGGAAGTGAGCACCATATCTCATTGTGGAAGTATTTCTATGTGTAATTAATTTATATAACATAAAAGAAGCAGGCTCAAGATGAGAGAGACAATAATCTTCTACTGGAGCTTATTCAGCCGCAAACCACGGGCATACTTTGTATTTTGTTCTTGTTTTGATGATCACAGGATGTATCTTATTTGCGGCTTACTTGGGCTATTTTCAGTGCCCGGGGAGACATGATGTACATTGTAGAATAATGCAATAAAATAATTGAACATTTTCCCTTGTCTGGCATATTTATACTTGTGTGCTCAGTCACATTAGAGGGGTTGGGAATGCAGCAGTCTCAGCTGTAAGTTATTATCCTGATGGAGCTGGCAGGCCTGGATGCTCTCTCTGAGAAGCAGGCTGGGTGTTCCAGTGGATGGATTATTCTAGAGGCAGTGTAGTTCATGGAGAGGAAGTCGGCTATATTTAAAAGACAATAAAAGTCTGTGGAACAAAACAAAATAACATCTAATCCTTTGCCAGCAGAAGTTTTTCAGGGAAGTGCCAAATTAGTGA